TATTATTGATATGAATACATATAATACATGAAATAGATTCTGCTGCTCATTTAATCTATTTAATGGTTATTTTTATGGGGAAAAGTATGGGCCATGAACCAATGCACCGATGCCAGCTATCAGCATTTATAAACCAAACTAGTTTGCAGTCTTTATATAAATACTCAAAACTCAATAAGAAAATACAGTCAAAACAGCAAAAAAACAAACAAAGATTCAATAAAATGAGCATAACACTCAACTAAAAACACCAGATCATTCATGACTACATACAAAAATAAGCACTATATGGCACAATTGTGTTGCATTACTCTCAGGGCGGAATTATTAAAATCACATCTGCATTACAAACAGCCGACAATGATTTTAAATGCACACATATGTATGCATAATGCTGTGCAACAGTGTTTACTTCTGTGGTTTTGTATCATTTGCTATTGTTGCTAGGCTGCTTAATAGGCCAATGAGGAACAACTGTTACCTGTAAATACCACAGAATCCTGACAGTTGTTGTATTCTTGATCCCAAATGGATCAATCACAACAATATAACCAATTTTGAGATATGCTCAGTATACATTCTCATATTTAAACTGTCCCCATATAGCAAACACATGTCTTTTGTAAAATAACACATACACACATTTTCTACTCATTGTAGTGATTGAGTATATCCATTTTGTTGCAGGTAAAATTTACCTAAATAGTAATACATTAACTCAGCAAGGCAATTTTTAAACTATGAAGAACGTGTGAGCTGTTGTTTGCTCATACAGCCACTGAAGTGAACCAGAACATGATTCAGGCTTCTGATTTCTTAATCACTTAGTCTGGTACAGTCACAGTCATACACATTTTAACTACATCCAACCAACTGTTTCATCTTTAAAGATGCCTTATTTATTTATTAGTAAGGTTATTTTACAGGGGCAATACAGATGAATATTGTTACATAAGGAGAAGCAATAAGATAGTTGCAATATATACAGATACCTTGTGTATAGAATTTCACAGTTGTGCTTTGTCATTGGCCTCTACTCTATTATCCACCTTCATTAAAGTGTGTGTGTTTCACTTGGATGTTTGAGCTTCACTGTGCAGAATGGTGTGTGTGCAGAGTTTGACATTCATCTGCAGAAGAGTCTTAACAAGGTTGTTGAACTTGTATAAAAACCATATCAGGAACTAATTATAATTTAAAGCAGTGTATTGTTAATGTCTTAAAACATGTCTGGAGCCGGTTTTTAATGTTTGTTTTTATAATAAAATGATCGGCTTGATTCTAAATGCTGATTTATAGTCATGAATTTGAGTGGCAGCAAATCCTGCAGACCCTGGAACCAGTGTGATTGCACCAGA